TTCAGGTAGACAAACCTTTCGTAATTATTCCTAGTCAATATATATATATATATATATATATATATATATATATATATATATATATATATATATATATATATATATATATATATATATATATAATATATATATATATATATATACACACACACACACTAATTTTCAATATTTTATCAGCTTTTTGGTCGCCCCCAGTGGTTTACTATCAGATGGAGGTCACAAACCTACGTGAAAAAGGTGATTCCTTAACTGTTTTCATGGTAGAATGATTATGCTAGCTATCAGCTTCACCACAATTAAGAGATGGATCATTTTAACTATATGATTAAATGAATAAAAGGTCAGAGAAGAACTGGAGAAGAGAGGTTGCCAAATAAGAATGGGTTGCATTGTCCAATCTATCACAAAAGTCGATAATTGTAAGTGATTTCTCTTTACATACTTGAGTTTTGTGATCTTGAAGATTATTTTTAGTATAGAAAGTAGTTGTTTCAAAGCTTCTCATGTTGAATGTTTTGGAGTACGAACAGGTTGTTTAGTTGTATGCAAAGATGGATCGCGAGAAACGTATTCTGAATGCATAATGGCTACGCATGCGCCAGAAACTCTAAAGATGTTAGGAGAAGAAGCTACACACGAAGAAAGACGAATTCTTGGTGCTTTTAATTATGTGTACAGGTAACTTCTTAAATATATATATATACTTTAGTTCTTTAATTAATTACTTTATGATTTCAGATTCGGATTAAAACTTTACAAGTCTTTTTTGTTGGCAGTGATATTTTTCTACATCGTGACAAAAGTCTAATGCCCCAGAACCCATCTGCATGGAGCTCATGGAACTTTCTTGGAACCGTGGACAATAAAGTTTGCTTAACGTATTGGCTAAACGTGCTTCAGGTTTGTATGATCAATGCTATATTGATCGCATTTATGTAAGTGCAAAAATATCATATTTTTCAACAATATAATTTACATGATCATAATGCAGAACATTGATGATAAGGGGCCACCTTTTCTGGTTACCCTAAATCCACCCCGAACACCAAAACATATGATGCTCAAGTGGACAACTGGTCATCCAGTCCCATCAGTTGCTGCATCGAAGGCTTCACTTGAGTTAAATCAAATTCAAGGGAAGAGAGGAATTTGGTTTTGTGGTGCATACCAAGGTAGTTTTATTCTTGTTGTAGTATATGATATGTTAGATTATCTGTTTTTCATTTATATATGCTGTTGGTTTTAATTTATTTCTATAGGTTATGGGTTCCATGAGGATGGGTTAAAGGCTGGTATGCTTGCTGCAAATGGCATGCTTAGTAAGAGCTGTGAAATTCTCAAGGACCCTAAACATATGGTACCATCTCTAATGGAAACTGGTGCAAGGTTTTTTGTTGCTAGGTTCCTTAAAGATTATATCGCTATGGGAAGTTTAATGTGAGGAACATTAATAAACATCGTCCCTTAATTTAAACTCTTGAGGGTTACTTTCAAACATAACACAACTTATACATAATAATAATAATAGTTACTCCATTTTTTATAGTTTATTAGAAGAAGGAGGTACAATGTTCACCTTTGAAGGAACCAGAAAGAAGAGTAATTTTAAAGTTTATCTCAAAGTTCACAATCCCCAATTCTATTGGAAGGTTAATGCATCTTAACTCTTCTAGAAATTGTACTTTTGTCTTACGGATATATCGATCGGAATGATTTAATTAATATATATGAAGAAATCTCCATGCAGATTGCTACAAAAGCCGATTTAGGTCTTGCTGATGCTTACATAAATGGAGATTTCTCCTTTGTTGATAAAAAGGAAGGCCTTTTAAATATGTTTATGGTAAACTTAATGGTTTTCGGTTTAGTTAATTTCCTATTGTGCTTTCTCACTGAAGTTTTCCTGTTTCATAGATTTTCATTGTTAACAGAGATTTAGAAAGTTGTGCCCAAAAGTCCAGAAAAAGGTAGTTACAGCGCTATTAACACATCTTCATATGTAGTTCTTTAATTATACTCATGGCATGAAGTATGTGCGACTCTAGGGGCTGGTGGACACCAATGATTTTAACAGCTGGAGTGGCATCAGCCAAGTATTTCTATCATCATATTTCAAGGCAAAATTCTCTTACTCAAGCACGTCGAAATATATCTCGCCACTATGATTTGGTATTTGAAATATTTTTTTTAATTTATATGTTGTAAAGATTCATTATGCACCTCACTAACGTTACAACCATTTATTCTTATATTATATAGAGCAATGAGTTATTTGCATTGTTCTTGGATGACACGATGACATACTCATGTGCAATATTTAAGGTAAGAATTTGAATTCTGTTTTTGTCTTACTCAAGTCTAACGCGCACTTACAAATATATAGAATGAAGATGAAGACTTGAAAACAGCACAGATGAGAAAGATCTCTTCATTGATTGAAAAGGCAAGAGTTGATAAGGAACATAAAGTTCTTGAGATAGGATGTGGTTGGGGAACTTTAGCTATTGAATTAGTGAAAAGAACTGGATGTAAATACACTGGCATCACCCTCTCTGAGGAGCAACTAAAATATGCAGAAACTAAAGTGAAGGAAGCTGGCCTACAGGTATATATTATTATTTAGTTGTGATAGATCAAACTCATCATTTGATTTATCGACTTCTTAAATGCACTTTCAGGACAAAATCAGATTTCTACTATGTGACTATAGGCAATTGCCTCATACCTACAAATACGATAGAATAATATCTTGGTGAGTTCTCATATATCTTCTCTAGTCAATATGCTTAACATAAATTTTAGTTTAAATGTGTTAGCCATTATTCAATAACATAATTTTAAGGATTTAGTATTTAAAATCTTTTTCCTATATATGTGACTATCTGTAGTGAAATGCTAGAAGCTGTTGGGCATGAATACATGGAAGAGTTTTTTAGTTGTTGTGAATCAGTATTGGCAAACGATGGACTTTTTGTCTTGCAAGCAAGTTTTCTTCTTCTTCTTCTTCTTCTTCTTCTTTTAAACTTTAAAAAGACGAATAGTAACTGATATATAGTTTTGATCATCAGTTCATATCAATCCCAGACAGGAGGTATGATGAGTACAGACGAAGCTCGGACTTTATAAAAGAATACATATTTCCTGGAGGTTGCTTGCCTTCACTTAGCAGAGTAACATCTGCGATGGTTGCATCATCCGGCCTCTGGTAAGACTTATTTAATAAGGGAAAATAGTAGAAAATAGCAATGTACTTTACTTTTTTTTAACAAAATAAATAGCCACATATTTGCCTTTTCTTCATACATAATAGCAATGTATTTGCAGTTTCATACTTATGACAAATAAAGTACAAAACCCATATTGGTAGCAATATATAGTTATGTTGAAATTGTAGGTAATAAATAAAGAATAGTGCTCAAATTAGTAGGGAGAGAAAAGTACATTGCTATTCCCTACAGTTTGTCCTATTTTTTAACAACTTTTCATTGTCATATGAGGAGCTCATCAAAATGCTTAATATTGTTACAGTGTAGAGCAAGTGGAAAACATTGGGATACATTACTACCAAACGCTAAGATATTGGAGGAAAAACTTCATGGAAAAGCAAAGGTAAATAATTGTTATGTTTTTTATGCATTTTGATGATTGTGGGCGTGGTATTTATTATTATTAATGTTGTTCATAGCAAAATACTTGCTCTGGGGTTCAACCAAAAATTCATTCGTACATGGGAATACTATTTTGATTATTGTGCTGCTGGTTTTAAGACCCACACACTTGGAGATCACCAGGTATTTAGTATTCTTTTTCTTAAAACATGTAATCAATTTATAATCATAAGATAATAGAAGAAAGTGTACCTTGCTAAGTCTCATCACTTTTTTGTTCATTTATTTAAGGTTGTGTTTTCAAGGCCCGGAAACACTGTTGCACTAGGAGATCCTTACAAGGGTATCGCCTCGGCTTATTCTTTAAATTAAATGTCACTTGCTCCTTAAACATCATTTTATCAGCATTTAGTTTTTTTTGTACTCAATTGAATTCCCTATTGGTTTCATCTTCCAAATAAAACACAATACATTATTTTTTTTCCAAAGAGAAAAACAATACATTATTGCTATGTTGATTTGTGCTTGTGTTTTCTTCTTATGTAAACATGATAGATTGTAAGGCAGAATGCATCAAATAGGATCCATACAAAACCAGTCGATTAAATGCTTAGATTTTATGATCATTCCTTCAACCAATTTTAAACTTGATAGATTGTAAGGCAGAAATGCATCAAATATGATCCATACAAAACCAGTCCATTAAATGCTTAGATTTTATGATCATTCCTTCAACCAATTTTAGAAATCAACTCAGGTTTGTTTTGTTAACTAAGAGAATTAACATGGTAATGAAATGAATCGTATTTACATAATCATGTTTGGTTGGTGGCTTATAGCAGGTTGCTTATAGTTTGTAACACTTTGTTAAACGTGAAGGAACATTTGATTTTAGAACGTTTTGTTCAAACAATGCTTTCTGTTCAAAACGAAAGTTTTTGTCAAACACTAGATGTTAGAAGCTCCCAAACAACCCGTGTCGAACACATCCATAATGACTTTACTAACCAACAAGCTTTTGACATAAAAATTTAGATTTAGATTAATCAAAATAATGAAAATTAAACAACAAATACATATATAAACATGTTATTGCGCATAACCACAAAATGGAATGAAAAAAAAAAAACCAGCTCCACAAGCTAAAAAAAATGAGTAAGATCGAGTTCCTTCAAGACCATTTGATTATGTCAAGCAAAACAAACATGGTTTCTTTTTCTATTCCAATTCCATTCCTTTTCCAAACCAAACACACAACCTAATGTCTAGTATACCAGATAAGTCTCGACCTCTATGTCAAATTGGCAGAATTTCCATCTACAAATGGAATGGATAGAGAGTATAACCATAGCCACTTAAAATTGACATATGACATACCACAACACAGTCAAATCAAGCTCCTCCATCTGTCCATAAAGCCAATGAAGAAAACAACTGCATCCATGTAATGAGTAATGAATGAGCAACCAGACAGACCTTCAGCATAAGAGTAGTTTCAAGCTCCATCTTAATAGTGCAAGTCAGCAACGCATCTCTCCTCCTGTACAACACAAGGCCACAGGGGACAAATGATTATGCCATTGTCAAATTCTTTTTCATCTACCACTACCACTACCACTATCACTATCTACAACAGCTACTCACTCAACTACAGCAACAGCATTACTCCTCTTAGCTTCTAACACTATTATTTATACTAACTACATTACATATCATAATTACACTGCTAAATGCCTCCGGAATTGCCACATCACAACTGAACAGATAGAGAATCATATCAGTTAATATATGAAAATTATATCACCATAACAAAATCTAATACACACTATAATATAAAGTATATAACCAAGCCAAACACAAGAAAAAGAAGAAGCAAATGATGATTAACCAACTCTACTCCTCAAAAATACTGCTTATTTAGAAGAAAGAAAAAAAAAAAAAGCAACCAACCAAAACAGATAATAGATTACTTCAAGCTACCGAGAATCAATCATCAAGCAAGCCAACCCAACCAAACCAGTCATCCTATTGTTGGCATCCGCAACATGATATTAATTGTCCGATCAAAAATCACTCTTGCTAACCCTGCCTCACCGGACCACCGCCATAACCACCATACCCACCACCACCACCACCTTGCCCGCCATTCCCCTGAACACCATAGTTCCCGGCGGAAGCTTGTGAAGGATCACCTCTCCACCCTGAATTCCCATATCCATTAGCATCCCCATAACCACCACTTCCCATGTAGCCACCACCACCGCCAGAGGACTGAATATCTCCACCGGCACCACCAGAATTGGCAGCCGGAGCACCACCGATACGGCCGCCAACAGCACCATATCCAGCAGGATTCCCATAAGACCCGTCGTTACCACCACCGTATCCACCACCATAACCATACCCTTGACTCCCATACCCAGCACCTCCACTCGGAGATTGACCCGTAGGTGGTGGTGCCGCCTGCGAACCACCACCTCCAGCAACAGAACCACCCCATGGGGCAGCCCCGTAAGCTCCGGCACCACCATATCCGGAGGAAGGCTGAGCATTCCATGAACTCCTTGCTGCACCAGATGGAGCGCTTCCATACCCTGCACCTGCAACATTTGGGTTTCCATATGGTGCACCACCATACCCTGGGGTCCCACCACCATAGCTACCATACCCATTGTAACCCATTCCATTACTCGGGCCATATCCATATCCAGGTGTCCCATATGGTGGAAACCCTCCACCACCACCACCACCACCACCACTCTGAGATTGCATGTACCTGTTGGAATCCATTCTACTCTCATAAGAACCTGTATGTCCACCAGATGCACCATAACTTCCACCACCACCACCACCACCCATAGACCGCCCACCACCACCACCACCAGGGTTAGCATCCTTAGGAAGAGCCCTTTTAACTTCTACTTGCTTACCATTCAAATCATGGAAAGTCTTGTGCAAAACTCTATCAACAGCATCTTCAGAATCGAATGAAATAAATCCAAATCCACGAGGCCTGTTAGTCTGCTGATCATACATTACTACTACATCAGTTACCTGTCCATACGCTTCAAAATACTGACGAAATCCTTCTTCACTCAAAGTGGGTGGCAAACCCCCCACAAATATTTTCTTTGTCCTTGTACCTCCCCCACCACCACCACCACCACCAAAACTTCTACCACCACTTGGGTTTCCAGCTTTTGACACCTGCTGTTCCTCTCTTGATAGGGCCCTCTTAGCCTCCACCTTAAAAAAAAAACATATGGCTAATTGTCAAAACAAGATAACAACTGTGCATGATAAATAAAGACTCAGAAAATATTCAAAGCTCATGTGACATCTATATCTTTCTTTTAACTATTCAATAACAATAGCAACTTGACACCTTCCATCCCAAACTGGGATGCGCTAAAAAATGTAAGCCATCAGAAAGCAAAAAGAATCATAATTGAAAAAATGTTCTAAATCACTGAATAACAATCCCCAAGGGTCTTTTTGGCGATATTTCGTTGGTGCAGATTGACTATTATCCCTATGTTTTTGGCCATCCCCTAGGGCATTTTCAAAAAGCAAGTTTCCCCTTTTCAATAATACATCCAAAATCGAGGTTATAAAAACCAAAAAGCGAGGACACACATCATGTAACGGTTTTAATTCTCATTAGAGTAAGATCCTTTGCGTTAGTCCTACATATAAGTCTGAGCTGGTGTCATTAATTACCACTAAACCAGTAGTGGTAGACACTATTTTACAAGACTAGGGTTAGAAAATATAAAGGTATAAACCTAAATCGGAAAGGAATAAGTAGCGGAAGTAAATGAAATGAAGATTTATAACAAGAAAAGGAGATCTAGGTAGGAGAAATACCGTTCGGCCATCAATGGTGTGTTTTTCTTGAAGAACAGTGTCGAGTACGGAAGGATCTGAAAAGACGACGAAACCAAAACCGCGTGGCCTGCCGGAGATCTTGTCTCTCATTACGACCGTTTGCAGAATCTCTCCATAATTACCAAAATACTCTTTCAGCTTCTCCTCCGAAGTTTCCCATGAAATCCCACCGATGAACAGCTTCCCCTGATCTGAATCCATAGATTAATGTTTATATATATGTATGTATGTGTGTGTCTCTGAAGCTGGGATAGTAAGGTTTTTATGTATATATTCCCCTTGTGTCTCTCTCAGAAACAAACGAGAGAGGGGTGATTGAGGAGGGTTTGTGGCGGAGGCGATGATGGGTCAACCTGGATGAGAGAATAACAAGTGATTGGGAGTAGACGGTATTCTTAACCAACGGATGAGATTTAATCTCTTCGTCCTTGTAGGTTTTTTTTTCCTTTTCTAGATTTTAGAGTCTACAGATATTTTCACGTCCGGAGATACGCGCACCTATGTAAGATTTTGAGCATATTTTGTTCTTTATATTAAAACTTACTATTTTTGTAACCATCAGAGTGAAATTATAAATTAAACATGATTGCTCTCATTAGGAAAAGATTTTGTGACACATAAAACCTTTGTGTATACCATCAAATCACTCAAACATACCAATTACAATTGGTTATCTCTCAGAGGTTGGGATATGTTTTTACCTATAAACTAGATCAGCTATATGATCCTTAAAAAAACGATGTCACTTATGCGTCACATCATCTCCCCTATATATTCATTAATTTTTGAAATGGTTATCACTATATATTTTTTACTTTTTTTTTAATATTTAGATTAAAATTAAAAAAAAAACATAATTAAATATTTCAAATTACGTAAAAACACATTACATAACTTAAATTACTAAAAAAAATAAAAACATAAAATTTCAAACCTAAATTACTAAAAAAACATAAAGAAAAATTTAAACCTAAATAACTAAAAAAACCCATATAAATTAAACATAAAAATTAAAACGTTAAAAACCTAATTTTCATACTAATCCCGAACTTATTGTTGGATTTTCAGAAACTCGGCTAGATTTTCCGCGTCGATATCCGGTTGCGGTTTCGTGTTTAAAATTTGAATATCGGTAAGTGCTTGTTTCCGGCGCCGAACTTCCTCCGTTTCTTCATTTTTTTTTTTGTAAGAAACTTAGAGTTTTGTCAATTCTCTCCGCAAGCACGTCTTCGTTACTCGTTTTTCTGCTTGAAGATGTCATCTTTTTCCCATTTCCCTCTCCTTCAGAGCCATCGAAGTCGTCATTGAGGTTGACACCAAAACCCACATCCGACTCAGAAGTTCTTGCTCTTTTGTTGGAGCCGATTATCGATTCTAAATACGAAGTCTCCAGGTTAAGGACCTATTTTGAACCCTTACGATAAATTTCTCACGCTTTTTGGTGGCTGAACATTTTACCGCCATTCGTGGCATTGTATTGTTGGTAAGCGGTTGATAAAATATTGAAATCGTTGCTACCACTTTTATGCATATTTTTCAGATTTTCAAATATATCGTTAAACGTGGTGCAAGCCGCTCGTAGTTCACACCATTTTCCATTGATCGCGTCGTACATTCGACCCGTTTGCCTTCCCAAAAGCGAGTGAAAGTGATCTAAAACACGAAGCCAAAAACTGTTTCACGTTTGCGTGTTGCCCATCCTCGAGTCACACAATATAGAAATCTAAGTTTTAGCTAAGTTTCCTCCTCATCTTCAAGCTAAGTCATTCCTCTTTTATTTGTAGCTTTTCCTTTTGTTTTCCATCTCCTATATGGTTGTGTTTCTTCGACCCCGTCATCGTCGTCATTTTTCAAGTTTATAGGTGGGGATTGAGAAAAAGGAACTTGAGATTGTTGTGTTTGGAAATGTTGAGATGGTCGTGTTTGGAATTGTTGCAGTTAAAATTGTTGAAAACCTTGAATTTTGGGTTAATTGAATTGTTGTGGTCTTTGTTGTTAGAAATAGTTTGGTTGATATAAAATGGTGGTAAATAAAGATTGTTGTTAAATTGAGGATGTTAACATTTGAATGTAACATTGATATTGATCATTTGAAGTGTTTTTGGTTGTTGGGGTGTTTGAAGTGGTTGGGGTATTTTGATTTTGCTCCATACTCTTGAGAAAAAATAAGAGATTAGAAAGATATGTGAATGATTTTGTGGTGTGAAGTGGTGTAAAAATGTTTGGTATTTATATGGTTTTTAGTAAGGTTAAAAAGTTATTATTTTTAACTCCTAACGGGTCAAAATTTGATCGTTTGCTACAAATGGATTTGATTGGTTGTAACAACACCTAATTGGCCTCGATTCACATCATGCTTACGGACATGGAGGGCGGTGTTCACGCATAAAAACTCCCGACCACGTCACCCTTTACGTGTAAAAAAGCCTTCCACACCCTTCGGCCTTATAACACGCCGGATATCACGTGTGAGAAAGAAAAATGTCATAAATAAATTATAAACGTAATGATCGACCGGTGATTAAAATTAATTTATTAAATTACAATATCTAGATATTTTGTCAATAAGTTTATAATGATATAATGAATATTTCAAATTAATATGTATACTAGTCTGAATATCTGATAAACGTTTTGTATTTCTAGATACCTGATAAAATTATGATATTTAATTCTTTTCATAATATTTAAAATTTGGCATCTTTGTAAAGACACCCTTCGTATGTATAGCAAGGTTGTGATTATGGATAAAATAAACAATTAACGTTATTTATAAAGTATAATGTTATAACAGGTTCATAATATCTACCATTTATGCAATCATTTGGGGGTAAAATATATACAGCACAAGAAAATCAAATAATTAGCTCTCAATTTTAGCATTGTACTGTGAATGTTCATTGCTATAACACATCACAACATAAATATGTAGATATAGAAAGTTACCTATATTTTTTCTACTATTTAAGGCTCGTCTTGACAAATTGTTTTTAGTTTGCATTGTTCAAACATTGATCCCTAAGAACTTATATAATAAACTGAGGAATTATGAATTTTTGTTTGCATTATCTCATTTACTTTGCATTGTTCAAACATTGATCACTAAGAACTTATAATAATCGCGATCTTTTAGCAAATAATATTTGTCAAATTTTGTTCAACAATGTTGTTAAAAAAATTGTCAAATTTACATGCAGTTCAAAATTTAAGGTACAACTAATTATATACTAAAATTGTTATGTTTTATTGAAATAGTATAATACTAACAAACATAAGGTATTTTACTACTAAAACATTAAATTTATATGGCTATAATTTCTTAATGTGTAGTCGGTGTAGAAAATAAAATCTTAAGTGTTAAAAAACACCTAATTTATATTTTATATTTGGGTACGAAGATTAGAGTTAAGGTGTGAGTTCAAGAATTTAGATTATAGTAAAGATAATTGAACATCAATAGATAAGCAAGAAATTATTTTATTTTATTGTTGAAATTTCATCAATTAAAATCTTAATAGATAAGCAAGAAATTATTTTATTTTATTGTTGAAATCTCATCAATTAAAATCTCGCAATCATCACATTTTTGTACATTCTGAAATGGATTTAAAACACATATTACATTGATCTTTATTATTGTTATTTTTATCACAACAATATGAAGGTGTGTATCCTTGGCGTGACAAACAATTAGTCACTTCTTGTATTCTCTCTTTGATCCAACATCTGCAGATCTGCTACATGTATACAAAAGAGGTTAATATTCATATATTGTAACATGACTTCATATTTGAATTTATTTTTTGTACACCTTAAGCATTAGCTTTCTAAACTTGCGTAAGATAATAAATACCATACTATGAACATCTATTTTGTTATGGTTATGATTTTTAATGTATAAAATGTTTATAGTTCGTATGAACTCAAAAAATTTCTCATATAATTTTGTAATTTCCTCATAAATCTAATCCTTTAGATGAAGTAAGTTGTCTAAGACAATAACCGACTACATAATTTTTTACTAATTACCATGTTATATATCTTAATTTCTTTCGATACATATATAGTGTAAAACTTAAGCAAATACTACTAAAAGCAATTCAATAAATTACATGTGGCCATACAAATCAGAAGAAAAATAAGAAGGTAGCGACGAGTAAACATAGGAAGGTTCTTCATGTCAAATTCTTTCAACCAATAAATATATAATTCATTTACATAAGAACTAAACTTTATAAGAATATTCAATATATATATATATATATATATATATATATATATATATATATATATATATATATATATATATATATATATATATATATATATATTGATTTCAAATTTGGAGATTCTTAATTGTTCATTCAAATTATTCCGCAAATCAATGGATCATATAAATAATTCTCATAATTATTATATAGTTTTATGAGATTTATCATTGGAGACTCTACAAATGAATCGAGACATAACATACGTTCAGATAAGAGTTTAAGCAGGAATTATTTATTGAGAATATCTAATAAGATGACATGTGGCATAGAAAACTATTTTTTAATTAGAATATGTAGATTTGTAAAAGTTTATCAATGAAATGAGAATGGTCTTCTTCTTTTTCATTCGTCTAAAATGATATAAGGTTGAACTCTCAACAAAACTAGAACATAGTTCAATAAGATAGATATTTAATAGAAAGATTTTCTTAAGACCTTACAGAGATGAAGGTTACCATGCAAACTAGTGGTGATTCCAACATTTTCTTTTGTTGGGGGTATTTTTGAATAGTTTCAAAAACATAAAAGGTTTTTTAAATAAAATTTAAAATACTAGAGGTATATATATATATATATATATATATATATATATATATATATATATATATATATATATGATAATAGGGGCATGTCCACCCACTCTTAAAGCTTTAGATTCGCCTCTGATGCAAACTACATCATCAAGGTCACCATGCAAAAATGCATTGTGCACATCCATATGTTGCAACTCTTATTTCTTGATTGTTGGAAGTGTTTGTACGATCACAAAGTTTATAATTGTGGAAAATGAGCCTATACAGTAAGATATTTGATGATTTCCAAACACCACATGTCTAGCCTAATCTTTCTTTATTGTATTGCTTGTGTTGTATTTCATTTTGTTAACCTATTTGACGCCTAATGTTCATTTCCCTTTCAGTAAAGTTATAATGTCACATGTTCCATTTAACTCAACAGTGGTTACTTCCTTTTACATGGAATACAAACATGAGGGACTTT